TGAAGATTGGAATTTTGAGGGGATTTTTCCTGAGAGTTCTGGCGGCCAGTCTGAAATCCAGTTAGAAGCATCTGCCGAAAAACAGATGCCGGTAGCGACAAAAACCTGTGGGGAACTCTGCAAAAAACGCATCTTCGCACGGGCAGCCCGTGCGTTGGCCATTTATTTAAATTCTTTAAAAAAATGGGATCGTGCAGTTGAAAAACTTCCTGTGCATCTGATTCTAATTTTTATTCAGCTCAAAAAGCTTACATTACGCTTTGGGAAAGAGTCGCTCTGCTTGGAAATTATAATTTTTGCAGTTTTTGTTAAGCGAAGCTGTTTGCATCTAAATATCTTCCGCATTTGGCATGATCCAAGAAATTATCAATAAGTATTTGTCAAAAAATGGAAAAAATGAGAAAAGGGCAGTTTAAACAAAGTAGAACCAGAGCAAGCTAGTCATATGTTCTTTACGATTGATTAGTCAATTTTCGGCTAATTCAAGACCAGTTTGAACTGTAAGTTTACGCCTCTGCGGTCCAGATCAAAAACATGACCCACTCCATCCTTCATGAAAAAGGACACTGTAAAGCAATCAACGCCCCTTTTTTAAAATTTGCCGATGATGGCTGTGGTATGCTGGCTCTCTCACAGCTTGAAGCCGAATCCCCAACATTCAGCAGGAGAGTGACGTCACTTGCCAATACATTATACCCACTATAACGACGGTCAAGATGAGAAAAAGAGAATTACTTGCCAAAATTCTATCGTTCGCAAATGTGAAAGACTTATTTTCTTCAGCTTCTGGAAAAAAAATCACTATCAAGAAAAAAAGATTTTCCTTCGTTGGATTATTTAAACAGTAACACAAGGTCCTAACGTACCCACTACTCCTTCCGAAAAGTGCAATTTTTCTTGGAGTCTGGCGTCATCCCATGTGCATTAGTCCTTTCCTACTTAGCAATTTTATCTTCTAAAACTAGTGTCTTCACCTTTTAGGTCCAGCAAAAGTTGCTTTCACTGCATATTTTTATACGTTTTTTGCGATGCAACGCTAGAGCGCTACAGCAGTCAGCAAAAACTCATATTGTAACAACCCCGTCTGTGTGTGTACGGGTGTGTTTTTGCGTGTTGGTCCATCCGGACATTTTAACTCGACAACCAAACAAGCTTAGATGCTATAATTTTGTTAATGGGTTCCCTGGCCAAGCGCGACTCTAGGAACCTGATATAATGTTTTACGTACATCTACGTTTCAAATACAGACATATGGAGTTTTTGGCGAGAGAACTGCTAATTCGGGGATCAGAACAGCGAGTTCATTTTCAGTGAATAACCACCAGTCACTGGAAATTATTCATTTTCTTTGTTGCAATATTTCTGACAAGTTACAGTAATGAATGTGCAGATTGAGTGTAAAGCAACACACATTCACACAGTTAGCAATTTGACTGCTTCAAATTTAGCACAAAAACACATAATTGCACCAGCAACCCTAATGCGTCACTATCTAGGTTTAGTGGCACATCAGATTTTCATAATGCCTAATTGGAACTGAAAAAATCCGAGTACGTTTTAAACTTCTTTTGCTACTGAATTGCTAAAAAACATACGCACACGGAGTTCTTTTAGAAATTTCGAGGACTGTTCCCCATTGATGAAACCTGTGCTAAACTATTTGATTGGAAGGAAATTAAAAAAAGTGAGAAGCCTCGAATGCTGCAACTCAGTGTGACAAATGTTGTAGCATCTAGACGTTGATTTCTAAAATTTTATAGGCACTGTCGCATTAGAACTGCTTATACATCGTCTCCGGAAATTTGACTATATTCTGATGCACACCTGCTAATTGACAAATTTGTTATGTACGAGGCGGGCAAATGCACTGAAGGATACTGCTGCTGGTGCGCTCCACGATGATGCTCCAGAAGCATATCGTTTTCATCCGCCTGCTGCTGCTCCACGAATGGCTCAGCTTTATCAAAGCGGCCCACTTCCTGTTGAAAACTCGGTGCTGTGACACGTTCTGTGGTGGAAACACGTTGCTGCTCGGCCATGCGCACATACAGCGGTCGATAGAGAACGGTGTCTTCCTCATCTAGCAGCTCTTCTGTAATGCTCAAGAAAGATAATTATCTCCCCAGTCACGATTACTTTGTGTCGTAGTTGCACCAGCACACGATGATGTTGTGGAGCGGAGAATAACTTCGACTGTTTCCGGTGCAAATCAGCATCATCAACAAATTTGACATAATTCGCATGGTGCCACTTATTTGCACTCAACTATGTTTTGC